AAGAACTAGCTAAGCTAATTTAAGTTATTATAAGAAGAAAAAGAACAAGAAGAAGACCACGGGGCATTTTCAAGGTTACAGAAACGGTACGTTTTCCATTAAGTTCCTTTTTAAATAATTGCCCGTCATCTCTTACGGTACTATAAAAGAGCAACAAATGTACCTAGCTAAGGATAGTGTGCCACAGACTGTGTTTAACTCTGATTAGCTCACGTTAAACCTAGTAACTCGGGATAATAGCGTTAGCTAACTAGTGTTTCTGTATGGTAAGCAGCGTAGATAAAATGGATAAAAAGGTGCAGTGAAATAACTTTTATTTTCAATATATATAAAGTATATAACAGATTTTGTGCAAATCAGGTGTGCAATTTCAACGTTAACTTTAGTTTTCTCTCATATACTGTACAGTCTCCTTATATTGGACCTTTCCAATTTTAGTAACTCTCCTCTTCTTCCCCACCACCACAGATGTATTGTCCATTCTGCGGATCTGCATGTGTTTTCCGGTTAATGCAGCGTTTTCCTTTTGCATGTGTTTTCAGTTAATGCAGCGTTTTCCTTTTGCATGTGTTTTTTGGTTTATGCAGCGTTTTCCTTTTGCATGTGTTTTCAGTTAATGCAGCGTTTTCCTTTTGCATGTGTTTTCCGGTTAATGCAGCGTTTTCCTTTTGCATGTGTTTTCAGTTAATGCAGCGTTTTCCTTTTGCATGTGTTTTTTGGTTTATGCAGCGTTTTCCTTTTGCATGTGTTTTCAGTTAATGCAGCGTTTTCCTTTTGCATGTGTTTTCCGGTTAATGCAGCGTTTTCCTTTTGCATGTGTTTTCAGTTAATGCAGCGTTTTCCTTTTGCATGTGTTTTTTGGTTTATGCAGCGTTTTCCTTTTGCATGTGTTTTCAGTTAATGCAGCGTTTTCCTTTTGCATGTGTTTTCCGGTTAATGCAGCGTTTTCCTTTTGCATGTGTTTTCAGTTAATGCAGCGTTTTCCTTTTGCATGTGTTTTTTGGTTTATGCAGCGTTTTCCTTTTGCATGTGTTTTCAGTTAATGCAGCGTTTTCCTTTTGCATGTGTTTTCCGGTTAATGCAGCGTTTTCCTTTTGCATGTGTTTTCAGTTAATGCAGCGTTTTCCTTTTGCATGTGTTTTTTGGTTTATGCAGCGTTTTCCTTTTGCATGTGTTTTCAGTTAATGCAGCGTTTTCCTTTTGCATGTGTTTTCCGGTTAATGCAGCGTTTTCCTTTTGCATGTGTTTTCAGTTAATGCAGCGTTTTCCTTTTGCATGTGTTTTTTGGTTTATGCAGCGTTTTCCTTTTGCATGTGTTTTCAGTTAATGCAGCGTTTTCCTTTTGCATGTGTTTTCCGGTTAATGCAGCGTTTTCCTTTTGCATGTGTTTTCAGTTAATGCAGCGTTTTCCTTTTGCATGTGTTTTTTGGTTTATGCAGCGTTTTCCTTTTGCATGTGTTTTCAGTTAATGCAGCGTTTTCCTTTTGCATGTGTTTTCCGGTTAATGCAGCGTTTTCCTTTTGCATGTGTTTTCAGTTAATGCAGCGTTTTCCTTTTGCATGTGTTTTTTGGTTTATGCAGCGTTTTCCTTTTGCATGTGTTTTCAGTTAATGCAGCGTTTTCCTTTTGCATGTGTTTTCCGGTTAATGCAGCGTTTTCCTTTTGCATGTGTTTTCAGTTAATGCAGCGTTTTCCTTTTGCATGTGTTTTTTGGTTTATGCAGCGTTTTCCTTTTGCATGTGTTTTCAGTTAATGCAGCGTTTTCCTTTTGCATGTGTTTTCCGGTTAATGCAGCGTTTTCCTTTTGCATGTGTTTTCAGTTAATGCAGCGTTTTCCTTTTGCATGTGTTTTTTGGTTTATGCAGCGTTTTCCTTTTGCATGTGTTTTCAGTTAATGCAGCGTTTTCCTTTTGCATGTGTTTTCCGGTTAATGCAGCGTTTTCCTTTTGCATGTGTTTTCAGTTAATGCAGCGTTTTCCTTTTGCATGTGTTTTTTGGTTTATGCAGCGTTTTCCTTTTGCATGTGTTTTCAGTTAATGCAGCGTTTTCCTTTTGCATGTGTTTTCCGGTTAATGCAGCGTTTTCCTTTTGCATGTGTTTTCAGTTAATGCAGCGTTTTCCTTTTGCATGTGTTTTTTGGTTTATGCAGCGTTTTCCTTTTGCATGTGTTTTCAGTTAATGCAGCGTTTTCCTTTTGCATGTGTTTTCCGGTTAATGCAGCGTTTTCCTTTTGCATGTGTTTTCAGTTAATGCAGCGTTTTCCTTTTGCATGTGTTTTTTGGTTTATGCAGCGTTTTCCTTTTGCATGTGTTTTCAGTTAATGCAGCGTTTTCCTTTTGCATGTGTTTTCCGGTTAATGCAGCGTTTTCCTTTTGCATGTGTTTTCAGTTAATGCAGCGTTTTCCTTTTGCATGTGTTTTTTGGTTTATGCAGCGTTTTCCTTTTGCATGTGTTTTCAGTTAATGCAGCGTTTTCCTTTTGCATGTGTTTTCCGGTTAATGCAGCGTTTTCCTTTTGCATGTGTTTTCAGTTAATGCAGCGTTTTCCTTTTGCATGTGTTTTTTGGTTTATGCAGCGTTTTCCTTTTGCATGTGTTTTCAGTTAATGCAGCGTTTTCCTTTTGCATGTGTTTTCCGGTTAATGCAGCGTTTTCCTTTTGCATGTGTTTTCAGTTAATGCAGCGTTTTCCTTTTGCATGTGTTTTTTGGTTTATGCAGCGTTTTCCTTTTGCATGTGTTTTCAGTTAATGCAGCGTTTTCCTTTTGCATGTGTTTTCCGGTTAATGCAGCGTTTTCCTTTTGCATGTGTTTTCAGTTAATGCAGCGTTTTCCTTTTGCATGTGTTTTTTGGTTTATGCAGCGTTTTCCTTTTGCATGTGTTTTCAGTTAATGCAGCGTTTTCCTTTTGCATGTGTTTTCCGGTTAATGCAGCGTTTTCCTTTTGCATGTGTTTTCAGTTAATGCAGCGTTTTCCTTTTGCATGTGTTTTTTGGTTTATGCAGCGTTTTCCTTTTGCATGTGTTTTCAGTTAATGCAGCGTTTTCCTTTTGCATGTGTTTTCCGGTTAATGCAGCGTTTTCCTTTTGCATGTGTTTTCAGTTAATGCAGCGTTTTCCTTTTGCATGTGTTTTTTGGTTTATGCAGCGTTTTCCTTTTGCATGTGTTTTCAGTTAATGCAGCGTTTTCCTTTTGCATGTGTTTTCCGGTTAATGCAGCGTTTTCCTTTTGCATGTGTTTTCAGTTAATGCAGCGTTTTCCTTTTGCATGTGTTTTTTGGTTTATGCAGCGTTTTCCTTTTGCATGTGTTTTCAGTTAATGCAGCGTTTTCCTTTTGCATGTGTTTTCCGGTTAATGCAGCGTTTTCCTTTTGCATGTGTTTTCAGTTAATGCAGCGTTTTCCTTTTGCATGTGTTTTTTGGTTTATGCAGCGTTTTCCTTTTGCATGTGTTTTCAGTTAATGCAGCGTTTTCCTTTTGCATGTGTTTTCCGGTTAATGCAGCGTTTTCCTTTTGCATGTGTTTTCAGTTAATGCAGCGTTTTCCTTTTGCATGTGTTTTTTGGTTTATGCAGCGTTTTCCTTTTGCATGTGTTTTCAGTTAATGCAGCGTTTTCCTTTTGCATGTGTTTTCCGGTTAATGCAGCGTTTTCCTTTTGCATGTGTTTTCAGTTAATGCAGCGTTTTCCTTTTGCATGTGTTTTTTGGTTTATGCAGCGTTTTCCTTTTGCATGTGTTTTCAGTTAATGCAGCGTTTTCCTTTTGCATGTGTTTTCCGGTTAATGCAGCGTTTTCCTTTTGCATGTGTTTTCAGTTAATGCAGCGTTTTCCTTTTGCATGTGTTTTTTGGTTTATGCAGCGTTTTCCTTTTGCATGTGTTTTCAGTTAATGCAGCGTTTTCCTTTTGCATGTGTTTTCCGGTTAATGCAGCGTTTTCCTTTTGCATGTGTTTTCAGTTAATGCAGCGTTTTCCTTTTGCATGTGTTTTTTGGTTTATGCAGCGTTTTCCTTTTGCATGTGTTTTGTTTAATGCCGCGTTTCTGTCTTGCATGTGTTTTTTGGTTAATGCAGCGTTTTCCGTTTGCATGTGTTTTGTTCAATACCGCGTTTGTGTCTTGCATGTGTTGTGTCTTTTGCATGTGTTGTGACCGTGTCGGCCACCGTAGAGGTGTGTGTGTTTATGCAGAAAACCAGGAAATTGCAAACAGCGCTGTTACTTTTTCTTGCAAGTTGACTGACTTTTATTTAACTACTGGTTTAACTGAAGTAAAACAAAAATAATCTACTGAGAAGCATATTTTTTAAATAATTAAGATTTAATGTACCGTCTTTATTGCTGGCACACATTTTCAACTAAACAAAATTACAACCAAAAAAAAGCCCATGCGTCCTTCCACTAAGGCGGACAAAAAGCTTGACACAAGAACTAAAAGAAATATCCATTTTTCTTTTACAACTGTATTTTATCCATATTAATCCTGAATTTTCTTTGCTCTATGTACTTTGGGCTTTAAAGTTTGCTAATTGGTCATATGTTTTCAGAGTGTAACCTAAACAATAAAAACCAAAGTAGATGAGATTCAGTTATAATAACTAGTACCGGTTTAATGTCACACCATCTATTTTTTTTTTTTTTTTTTTTTTTCTTTTTTAACAATTTTTTGTTATACATTTGTTAAGAGCCTTAAACTATTCTGGATTTCCAATATAAAAAATGCAAAGCAGCATTACTGTGGGTAGATCCTAGCTTCTAGCAGATTAATAAGAGAAAGGAGAGATACTGTTTGTGTATGTACATGACTTTCTATGGCTGTGTGGACAAATTTTAGTTTGAAACCACTAGACATTCAAAATCCTCACACCTTAAAAGGGCTGTTTAAGGGGTTAAGGTTAAAATTAGACATTGCTTAGGTTCAGGGGCTAAGGAATGCATTATGTCAATGAGAAAATGTATGTGTGTGTGTGTGTGTATGTGTGTGTGTGTGTGTGTGTGTGTATTAATTACACTGTGAGGACCATTTGTTTACACACTCACAATGTGGGGACTTGCCTTCCTCGTGAGGACCAAAAGCCAGTCCCCACGATGTAAATCATTGACATTTACAGTGAACACTAAGGTTAGGGGTACAGTGCTAGGGTTAGGCAAATAGTAGTTATGGTCTGGGTATGTCTCCAGGACATGAATGTAAGTCAATGTAAAGTCCCCAGGAGGGAGGAAAACAAATATGTGTATGTGTGAGGACCTTGACTGTGCCCTTGCTGATGTAAGTAACACTTTAGCAGTCAAAGGGGTTGAAATCCAAGCTGTTCCCTGAGGTTCTTCTGCTAGTCTTTAACACCCTGTTCGTTTTGTGTGTCTGTGTGTGACATCCAACAAGATCTTTTAATATTTAAACATCATTAACAGCTGCACTGCTCTCTCCCTTTGTTTGTTTCTTTATTGACAGAGTAGTCAGAAAGGGTGTGGTAGAATCACTGCAAGTAAGACTCCTACTGAAAAACAGAGAAGGATGTTCTATTAAATCATGGTCATGAAAATGGAGGAGATGCTGCCGCTTTCGCATTTATTAACTTACAGAACATTATCCACAGCTCTTCCTTGTTAAATTAAATAAAACCAGGGTGAATCAGGATAGTGCACTGTAACATGTACCGCAAAGGCCTTAGAAATAATTAGATATATGTGTTCTTAAGTTGCTTAATATAAAGACATTCAAATGAGACTATACAAGACAAAAATTAAAGAAAAAACATAACCACAGGGTATCTGAAATGTCATTAGCTCCAAATCTTTTTTTTTTTTCTTACTTGCAAATGTATATAGCATTTAAGTCTCTGCTATAGTTATGGAAATTACTGAGAAATCAAAGTTCATTTTTGAAAAAGCAACATCAGCTCAAATATGATGCATCTTGATGGCTTAGTGGTTAAGATGCATATCATATACTGTAAATGAAACAACCTACATTCTGCGCTGTCAAAGTAGCTAATAAAGCACAAATAGTCAATTATACATAAATACAAATTCACTGAAATATGTGCCATGATGTTTTACAAAAGTGTAACTGTGTCTACACTGCAAGTGTAGCTTGGGCAACATGATTGCAGAGCTGTAGTAGCAGCTTCGGTGCTCTGTGTCTAACAGGAGCCATTCAGATGTACTAACTTGTAGACCACCCGTGTTTTGGAAGTACACAGAGTTCTACACACCACCAGTGTGGTTACGGTACACACATAAAACACAAGAAAATAAATATGAAGCATAAATCTGTTCTGAAAGATACAGACAGTGGAAAAATGCAGCTGAAATGCTTTTTATGTAGACACACTCTAAGCCAGACAAAACTCATTTTCACACTAGTATACAATCAAATGGAGCTTGCCAGACATTTGATACATGCTATATTTCTGGACAGATCAAATACAAATAATGTGCATGAACATATTTATTAACCGAGTACAACAGTGTGTGTATCTAATGGTTAGGTGTGTTAGAGAAAGGAAAGGATATTATGTGTCTGCTCTACCATATGTGTATCCAGGATAAAAATGTATTTGTGTAAAGGAACAAAGAGAATACAAGAAATGCAGGATCTGAAAAAGACAAAAGTAGATTTGCTGTCAGCTCACCGTGTTTGTCTCTAGCTGTCTGAACTTACCTGGCTTTGGAGAACAGATGCATGCGAGTTAAAGGGAAGGTGAGCCACAGAGCTAGTCGGTGGCACCTGCACCCTGGAGGTAGTTTTATGTTGTAGCCTGGCAGTGGCACCATACTCACTACAGTCGAAGTTGCTCTTCCATACCATTACCTATAAGGTGAATAAAAACTGTTGCTTATACCAAAATAATACACACATACAAAGAATGACATGTGCTACACAAACACAGTTCATTACCTGTTCATCAGAGCCTCCAGAAGCAAAGTACTCTCCTGTCCTGGAAAAGGCCACACAGGTCACTGGACCCTGCGATGAGCGAAATAAAACAGAGAGAGGGAGAATGAAGGTGTTGCTACAGTAAAATCATAATCAAATTGCAACTATGAAAAGTCAATAAAGGACTAAATAATGAACAAAAAATACAACAAGCACTGAGATCTATGCTGTACATTAAATGTGCAAACCATATGATGAGGCTAAAATAATTTGGCAAATAACTGATTAGTTTATTCACAGATCAATCAGCATCTAATTTGGTCTTTTCTTGTCCATTTCATTTCTCAAATATAAATAACAAACATTACTTAGGTCCAGTTACTCAATTGTCTTTGTCATATTTTTGATAATAATATTAAAAACAGAACATCTTTAGGCTTTGGGGTGTTGGTTAGACAAAACAAGCAGTTTAAAGACATAACTTTGAGATTTATCAAACTGTGATAGTTTTAACCAGATATTGTTTTTAACATTTTAGAGACAAAATTATTAGTCCTTGTGAAAATAGTGTACTCTATGGGTTGAATTAAGGTCCTTTATTTATTTTCCAACCCTATCTGCGTGAATAATAAATTATACAAATAGTTAAAAATGTCAACATCATTGAATATTGAAAAAAATGAGTAATTTTGGGAGACACTTACAGTATTACATACTAAGGTTTGTGAAACTGTTTCTGCCTGGAGACACTTCTGCCAATGTGCTACAATTGAGATCAGATGGGAGATACAGTATGTTGGCAGACTCAGCAAAAAAAATCAAAGTGCGCCATTATTTTCTTCAACTGAGCAACAAAGCTGAGCGCTCATTATGTGGGTTGAAACTACGGTTCTTTCCATGGTTCTACTAGCTCAATAAGGAGTCATTTACATCTTCACAAAAATGTTGAGCTTCAGCAGCAAAAGGACAAGATGGAGCAACAACAAAAAGACTTATTTGTTGCTCTTTAATGTTCAAACAATGACAGAAAACAATGGGAACAAATAGCTACTTTAATGACTAAAATGATTTCAGATGATATGCTTCCTAATAGTATTGTCAAGGAAGTGGGATTTCAAAGGCTGATGGAGTTTGAGGAAACCAAATACACCATGCCTTCATCAAAGACAGTTACTGGGCAAACTGAGAAAAAGTGCAACGAAGCAGCTACTGCTCTAAAAAGACTTTGATGGAAGCCAGTGGCAATAACAACTGATGCATGGACAGCTCTTGAGTCGGAGACATATGTCACAACAGTTTGGTTGCGCGCGCACACACACACACACCTCTATTATCTATACATCTCTCTCTATATATACACACTGTACAGTATATCTATCTATCTATACACACACACACTACATCATGACTAAACAAATAATCGACTTATATGGGCTTGACGATTCACACTCACCTAGATACTACACAGAATACAATGACAATGAATAACAGAAATCATTTTCCTTCTGCCAGGCAATATAACGGCCATGAATGTGTAGGTGTTAATGATGTACAATATGCAAAAAAAACAAACAAAAAAAAAAAACGCTATATATATTTGAACAAAACATAAAATACAGTACTAAAAATATGTATGCCAATCACACCTGCTTCAAGAGTTACACTGTATATAACAAGACAAGATTCACACGTCAGGCTCTAGCAGCACAGGAATCAAGAACAGAAAGCAGAGACTCAGTGGGGTGAAGTCACACCAGCATCACCTGAGGATATCAGAGGTTTAGCATGCAGTGTGTGAGTGTCACTGTGTGGTTGACTATGTTAGAGGGTGTGCACACGTGAGTCTGGAGTACAGACAGACTCCAGCTTTACAAACTCAGAAAACATGCTCTGTCTTGCGCTATTCTTTTTCTACCTCACAATGCAAAAAGGGGTCCAACGATTACAGCACGAGCCCTCTGACTGTGTTTGAAGGGAGGACGAAGGAGGGAACAAGCACAAGGGAATAACACAAACATGGAGGCTGCTGGGGAGAAAAAAGGAGCTGTGTTCTGTGGCTCATCCCCAGGCAGGCTGGAGGAATGGTTTCCCAGAAGCACCTGAGAGAAGCAGACGTTGTCACTATGGCAACGCGACAGCCTGACAGACAGCATGTTCTGTCTCTGGTCTGACTAACGCCTGCTGCCAGGCTGGCACTTGCAGTGGCCAGACACACACACACACACACACACACACACACATGAACACAGTCTGACAGGGCAGTGAACTTAACTGGCACATTTTAAGTACTAATAAATGAACAGGAGTTGCAGAAACCAGACAGGCTCCACATGGTGTGCTTTATAAAATTATGACTAACAAAAATGATTACATGCTTGCACAGTTTTTATTTTGTACAGTTATTTATTCAAAATGTGCCTCTAAGAACACTTAAAAATACATTTCTATCACTGATCTCACATGAAATACTGTACACGTTACAGCAAGATTGCGGCAATGTAGTCTTGTTATGCTTTCTAAATAACAATTCAAATAAATCAAAACAAAGAAATTGTCTGAGAATGAATGTCTCTAATTGCAGCTTAGGAAAGGAACAAATAGCACTAGTACACTATCAGCCAATTATGAATTTTACTTAACAGGAATGATGTTAGGAGACAAATGGGATGAGTGCTTTAGAACTGAAACAAGTAGCTGAAAATAATTTTCCAAGAAAAAAGTAAAATTAACAGCATTCAGTTTTAAGAAAGAGGACTATTTTGGAATCACGTTTTGTCTTGAGCTGTCTTGAGTAGACAGAAAAAAGCAATTAAAACTGAAATCAACTAAGATTTCATTTTTAGGTCATATCACCCAAACCAAGTTCCATCCGTTAACCAGTCTAAAGCAGGAGCACATTAAAGTATGGAAAAACACTAGCATCTCATCTCTTTCATGAGGTGCTTTATTGGGTCTCAAGTGTAGTTAGGTACTAAGTTCAAAACTTTGTATAATACTGTATAAAATATTTCGAATCCAACTATAAAAGTCAGCAGCAGAAATGAACCTAACTTAACATGATTTTACCCAGCCAGGTAAGGATCCTCCTGAGGCTAGGTAAACAACACTTTTGTCAAATCCAACAGCAACACTCCCTCAGAGCCTCTATGTGTTTTCACACAGAGTGCATGCACATAGGCAGCAGAACACAACGAAGCAGACACATAAACACACATAAACCTACACGCACACACTGAACAGATGGGGGTCTCTCCCATCTCTAGCTATGCAACTGGAGAGACAATTAACACCCTGAACACTCCCAGCACCAACAGATTGGTGGAGTCACCACTGAGCCAAAAAGAACAACAACAGAAACAGTGACACAGTGCAGGAGATGTAAAACCTGGAGGTGTGAAGAAAGAAGGGGGAAAGTGTTTGTTTTTTTTTGACAAGCAACTATAAAGAAACACAGATGACAGAAAAAAAGCAGAATGAGAGACAGGCAACGAGTACAGAGGGGTGAATAGACAGCCGGTCCACATGTGGTGCTGGCACGTCACTGATTTCACCAACTAGACAACAAGCCAGTTCAAACAAGCAGTTACAGTCAGTGAGTTGTCCAGCTAAAATGTAAGTACATCAGATGTAGGAGACAGGGAGGGGGTAAGAACAAATTGAGCAGGCCAAGGAGAACAATGAGAATGAAAATGACAGTGGTAACGCTAAAACTTCTACAAAACACATGGAGGCAGAGAGAAAGGAGCATTAAAGAAAAATAATGGGCCAGAAACAGCAAGGAAGCTGAAGAGCAGAAGATGAGGAGAGGATCCAGAGGAACAGAGGCAGTTCAGTTTCCTTCCAACAACCCTGTGATGAGTCGTCATCAGTGGGCTGCCCCTCTCCTGGCAAGTACCACAATACACCATGTACAAAAAAGGCACCATACACACACATACCCACTTCAGAGGATCAAACATGCACAAAGGAGACACACTCGCACATAACTGTACACATTAAACTCCACACACACACACACACACACACACACACACACACTAGAGAACAGCAGAGCAGTCATGACTTATCATGATCACGACCAGGTAAACTGTGCATAGATAGATAGCTCTGTGAAATATCTAAATCATATTTGTGTGTGTATGTCTACCTGGTGTCCGTGCAGTGTGTACAGTAGCTTGCCCTCTACAAGGTCCAGTATCTTCACTGTAGAATCACTGGACGCAGTCATGAGGAAATTACCGCCCGGGTGGAAAGACAAGCTGTTCACAACGCCACTGTGGACTGAAAGCACACACACATAAACAATGTAGTTCAGACTTGAGTGTATCCTTCTGATATTTAAGATAATAAAGTCATAAAAACCATGTTTATCAGGCTTTACTCTACTCTGCAGTTTTACACATTCACTTTTTCTAGCCATAGAATCATTAAAAAATAATCAATCAAAATTGTGACAGTGTGCAACTCACAACTATTTTCATTATCAATTAATCTGCCCATTATTTCTCGATTAATTGTTTGGTCTATATACATATAGAGTAAAAAATTTTAAATCCTAAAACATTCTCTCCTATATTGATTCTAGTAGGATCATTTCTTTCCCCTTTCCTCCCATTACCGAAGGTCACTTCAGGGGCTGTTAAGAATACTGTCTTGGTGAAGGATCCCACTGAAGTGCACTGCTGCTGTTCATCACAATCACACTGCCCCAGTTGTTGTGTAACTTAAGAAAGGCTTTCCATCAGGTTTACATACAGTACTTATAACAAGTAATCAAAACCGCCCCAGACTTAAAATAATTCTACCATAGACAGCAGCAGACATGACAAGCAACATAGTCCCTCTGCTGGCTGCAACATGCTATGACACATTTAAGACATAACTGATACTTTTTGCTGAAAAAGATGCTGAAATGTTGCAACCATATGTATTGAAAGCAGAAGGAATGTAGTCTCAAATATGGCTAGAGAGCAAGTTAAACACCCCAATAAACACAAAACCAATTGAACTACTGGCTAAAAGACTACTACTGTACCATACTGACTATTCATGCCTCCTAGAATAGTCCGTATTTAAAGACTTTCCTAATCACAAGGCTTAAACCACACATTAAACAGATTTACTTGCCATTGTTTGTAATTCCTGATCATTTTCATGGGTATCTAACAGCTACTACACCACACACACAAAACACAAATATACACAAAAAGTTCAAACACAGTTTAACACTTTACTACTACTACCACTTTCGGCTGTTCCCCGTTGGGGGGATTTAGAGCCACTAGTCAACCTAAGCTGCATGTCTTTGGACTGTGGGAGGAAACCGGAGTACCCAGAGGGAACCCACACAAGCACAGGGAGAACATGCAAACTCCGCACAGAGAGGCCCTGAACCCTCAACCTTCTTGCTGTGAGGCAACAGTGCTAACCACCATGTAACTATGCTGCCCAAAGCACAGTTTAACATTTTATGGTGACTAAACTGGTGATTAACTATAATATGTAACACAAAGCACTGTGGAAAGGAGAACAGAGAGGAAAAGCTTTTATCTTCATGCCCAAGCCTCCTTAGACAGATGTGATTATCCATTATTAGATCTCACAAGCGAAATACGTTTAAGACAGCTGCTTAGAACAATCAGACTGAGTGGCAGACAGCCAAAAAGGAATCAACATTTGCTTTATTGAATATGCAAGAAATCATGAATCTTGATTACCACTTTAATCATGGGCTTTAAAGATTGATTTTATCCTGGTGTTGTTTCTGTTGCTAGGTGAGACTTGACTCTAGCAGAGTATTCTAAATACTGCCTATATACACTTTTTGAAGTGTCTTTACCTTGGTAGTGCTGTAGCATCTTATGGGACCTGATGTCCCACACCTTGACAGTGTTGTCTGTACTGGCTGCAGCAATGCATGTTCCACTGGGATGGAAGTCCACATGGTTTGCATAACTTAGGAGAAAAAAAAACACAGAATTTAACAAAATGAGGTGTTTGATCAAGTTTTATCAGAACTAAAATTCATTATTGCAGCAGGTCAATTCAACTTACAGAAGACCTTTGTTTTGAAATACCATTGGGAAACATCCCCTTGAGAACATTTTGAATTGATATACTTTTAAAACACTTTGCATTTAAGATTTTATCTGATGATTATAGAGAAGCTTGTCATGAGTTAGTGTGTTTTCAATGACTTTGTTTTGGGAATTTTCACAGGAAGGCACATACAGTATATATTATGTCACGTTTTTCTGTTGTAACTGATACATCAGTGCAATCAATTTTTCAAACAAATAAATTGTATACAGGGTATAATGGACTAGATCTTCAGCATTTATAAGTATAAAAGAAAAAAAACTGACAAAAAATATAGTTTCTAACTGTTCACTTACTGCATTTCTTTCTTCCACATGTGTACATAAAATGCATCTTATTTGCAGTTCTCACCCAGCATGTTCATAGAAAGAATGAATGCACTCTCTGTTGTTCTTGTCCCACAGCTTTATGGTCTTATCATCACTGGATGACACAATCAAACGATCATCGGGAGAAAACCTGTAAGAAATGTTCCGGATATGGTAAAATGGCCCAACACTAAAAAATTAGAAAAGATTTTGTGAAAACATGTATAGGATGTTTAAGAGATCAAACATTAGAGTATGTGTAAACATAACAATACCAAAGTAGAAATATATGTATAGCTAATGATATCTGACTGCCAAATCTGTATGGTTTACTGTACTATGTATTGACAAATGTGTATGTGTGAGTCTCATACTTGGCACAGCGGACCCAGTTGATGTGCTGGTTCAGTGAGAACAGGAACTTTTGCCTGTGAACGGTCCACAGTTTAATGGTCTTGTCGTCAGAGGCTGTGACCAGAGTCTGTCCGTCACCAGAAAAGCTAACACTGCGCACGGTGGCAGTGTGAGCCCTGAATACTGTTGACTCAGCCTTCCTGTACATATATACACACACACACACACACACACACACACACACACACACACACACACACACACACACACACACACACACACACACACACACAAAGGAAGGCAACATTAAAGTTTAAGACAACAATCAAAAACCAGTGTGTGTTCTGCAATGTGCGCCTTCATCTGTGCTGGCAGAAGCAAGACATAAACAGCATTAAGCTAAACTATCTAGTTTTGTTGCTTCTGTGAGTCAGCATCAATGTGCTTTATGACAGCAAACTAGTATAATACTACAATAGTAAGTGATAACAGAGATTTTTCCAACAAAAACAAGGGGAATACTTCAAAACTTACATGCTGGGCACCCAAAGACGAACAGTCTTGTCTCTGGAGGCAGAGGCCACCAGGTGGCCAGAGGGAGAGAACAGAACAGACATGACAGCATCTTTGTGTCCATCAAAGCGATATGCTCGCATCTGAGGTTTCATGTTCCAGATCATCACGCAGGAGTCCAACGAGCCTGTGGCTAGGAGAGGAGGGAGCTGAATGGAGTGAACACATTGTATATGACCACAGAAAACATACCATACACAAAGTAAAATATAAAAACAACAGCAAACAGATAAAACAAATTATCTGGATAAACACACACGAATACACTGAGAAAAAAAAGTAGTAACAGTTACCAATCTGCTTCATGTTGCAGCTAAAGTCCACACTTGTCACTGTGTCCCTGTGACCTTTGAAATGTCTCTCTAGGGTTGGATCAGACTGTATAGAAAAAGAAACAAAGACACCATTGAAAACCTGGCATTAACTTTGTATTTATTTCGTTTCACTACCAAAAAATTAAAAAAATCAAAAATCACCAAAATCGTGCATTTTCTGCTACAACAATACTGGCTGAAGTTGGAAGCACAACAGCCACGGAGCGGCGCTGTTTCTCATGAGACTTGGTGCTAGACCTCAAAGCCTGTTTAAATTCCTGAGAAATGAAAGGTATTAACACTCGTTTTGACGCTTGCAGGCAAGCTGAAGTGAGCTGTCATCGCTGACTGATTATAATAAATTAACATGCAGTGGTGTCTTATTTTGTATTCAGTCCTGCTGTTACTAAACAAGAAAATGTCATAAATATAGACACTGTAGATCTAACGTTTCAATCCACTTGAAATGTCCTGCATTTTACCTGTCAGGTAGTCTCATTTGGTAGTTTTAGGTAGTGTAATGGAAAAACAAAGACCGCATTGGCAATGTCTGGGCTTTAGGTCTTTAAATCCCATTTATGAGTGCAGGATTTATAAGCAACCTGAAATGAAGCGCTGCCTGAGAGGCCAAACTCCGGGCATAATGTTGTCGCAACAACTGCTTGTGTCACCAAGGAAACGTGAGTTGCGGCGCTAGTTAGCCGCTAACCTCGGACAAGGAGGAGGAGAGATATTCAGTGCTGAATGTTATTGTGTAACGGGTCATCTGTAACATGGCAGAGCTGCACATTATAGGTCAGATCGTCGGGGCCAGTGGTTTCCCGCAGAACAGCCTATTTTGCAAATGGGGAGTTCACACGGGAGGATCATGGCGTCTTCTGTCTGGGCTGAAGGAGGGTCAGACTCAAGTGGATAGCCCTCAAATTGGGGACATGGCGTACTGGAGTCACCCGATTGATCTGCACTACGCGACAAAGGGACTCCAAGGATGGCCCAAGTTTCACCTCCAAGTGTGGCACCAGGACTCCTTCGGACGCTGCCAGTTGTACGGCTACGGATATTGCCATGTCCCGTCTAGCCCCGGTCATCACCGCATAAGTTGTAAGACCTGGAGGCCGCTTGGCTCCTGGCAAGAGCACTTGGCCCAAATGTTTGTAGGCGGAGGTCCCCAGCTCCGCAGCCCGGACCTCATCTACAGCGGGGCGGACCGATACAGACTGCACACCGAAGCCATGGGGACTGTGGAACTGGAGCTTGGCGTTATCATGAGACATTTTGACAAATATGGCGTCGACAGCTAGCATGGATGCAATTGAAAAGACTTTAGGAAGTTGTGATGGATTACATACTGTGCAGGCGGTGGTCCAATTTGTTTTCATAAAGGTGTTTTAAGTTTTTGTAAACTGCATTTGTGTTTTTATATTCTGGCTTTATCAAAATAAAAATACTATCACCTTAACGAAGTTGGTTCCATGTTTATTATTTTCAATAGCTGAAAAAAGGTAAACGAGTAGGGGTGTGTGACGATACACTTGGCTCACGAGACAAGAAGATGCATGATCTTGTGTCCTCGAGAAGGAGACTAGACAATTTTTTAAGACATATTTTCAATTATGAAATATATTACTCTTATTTGGGTGAAAGTCAACGGTAAACTACACACGAGAAACGAACTTCAGCGCTGTGGCTCAAGTAACAAACATGCCCTGCAGTTACACTCACCAGCGCAGAAGTCATCTTTCCTGATATCGTAAACAACCATCCAGTGAGAATGATTTGATGTTATTCTGACTGTAACAGCCGTACTCTATTTCGCTATTACGACGAATTAAACAGACGATATTGTCCCGCTGGCTCACCGGTCGGCTAATGTTGGCTAACAGCTAGCTAGTAGTTGCTGACAACAACAGAGTTCAGTTTACGCGCCGGGATTGGGCGCTGAGCATCTGGTCGGATCTCTTAAAGGGAAAGTCGTACTGCTAATAACGTTTTTGTCTACAACAACTTCGATGTCACAGATATAATACACTATAAGTATACTAAAATAAAATGCTATACAGCTGAACAATCAGGGCAAATTATCTAAATAATCAAATCAGGGTTTTCATACAGGTCACCATTACCGCTAGGTGTCAGCACTGACACAGCACTGTGTTTAGCACTGACAAATCTTGTTTTTGAATGGATAGCTTGATATAGACAATTTTCTGTTGTTACTTTTACATAAGTGAATGTTGTGATTCTCCGACAACAGCTACAGGCACATGGTGCTTTGACAAAATGTAGTCTAACAACACTTATCATGGTGAAATGGTGAAAGACAGCCCTAGGACAAACTGATCCTTTGTTAAAACACTCCTCACACTCTTTGAGCATTGTATGTACAGTAGTTCTTCTATGCTGGGATACTGCCTGGCCTAGGTTTGCAGTGTTATAATTAGATTCAATACGTACATTTAGGAACACATAGTACAAAACTGAAACAAAATTAAACATTATAAAACTGGTCTAGACACAGAGACTGGCCTCAAGACTGAGCTTCAAGATGAAGTAATAAAGCAGAGCCCACCTTAAGGTCCTTGTTATGTCAGATGTGCTTTAGCGATGTACTGTATATTCCCACATCCTATCTAACGTAGCATAAACCAGGTGAAAGTTTGCAAGGTTGGTATGTATCACTTGTGCAGATGTTCAGCATGTTGTCACCATAGTAAACATATTGGGGGCCTCAGTGAACGTAGATCAAATCAGGCCATTTTGGCTGAAGTGTAATGCTGTTTGTTTAAGAAGGTATGGTCTGGCATTCTGCCAAAAAGACAATGCACACCCAATATGTAGGGGTACAACAATGTAAAACCAGTAAAGAGTAATCAAAAGCTGCATAGACAAATAATGATACGGAATTGTATTTCCTGGTGAATTCAGTCAAGGAAAAACCCATTCTGTTGATCTGTCCTGTGCCAACATGAAGCCTTTCTTTAACTGAATCCCCTGTGAGCCTTTTCAGCTGGATGGCTGCTTTGTCACATAGCAGCAGTTTATACCGCAAATACTGAAACAGGTCACCTATGACCAACTGTAATTATGTTATTTTTATGTCATTTTCACACTATGCAGTCATGTTTCTGATTTAATGTTACAGAAACAAGATACACTTTATCTGGTAATTGCTTCTCAATATTAAGAAAATACTTTAATTACTTATGCTTGGGGGTACATGAATGGTCTTTTATGCAAAGGTTTTTACAAAGCTTGCCAAACTGGATCCAACCTGATGAGGCTTGTTAAGCAGTAACACGAAACCTTAGTTAAAAGATATTTTCTTCCTTTTACAAACTGTACAGACTATACTGTATGTGAGTCAAGGTTCACACTCCCTGTTTGCTTCACATTGAAAATGTAAATTCCCATTCAATTCACAAGGACAGTCAAGAATTCCCCAACATACTGTAATAAAACAGGCAGTGGTTTGTTATTTTAAATTGCTTCCAGGAAGGCACCATCATCCGCATTTATTTTATTTAAAGTACACAGTCAAATCTTGACACTTTGTGTCAGACACACCCATATGTGTGAGAAGTAATGAGGAACAAAAACAGATGAATGAATCACAAGTAATTATATTTTGAATAGTTGCCAAGTAACTGGGTGGTCATTAACTATCACAAAAGATGTTTTACATAAACAGAGTCTGGGCTTGTTCCACAGACACTCTCCAGTAAGAAGATGTTTTTAATGCTATTTGTTTAATCTGGAGTCATTTATGACTGCTATTTAAACCTGCAAAGGCCTGTAAGCTTATCAACAGGCCCAAACAGAATCTGCACCTGGAGAACTCTGACCACACCTTCACTGATTTTGGAAAAAAAGTATAAACTCAGAATGTAAGCATGTGTTTGCCCCTGCCTGCATGTGCACAACAGTTATGTGAGGTTAAGCGTTTCAGTCATTTTTTAAGTGAAGAATCTGATATTCACATCTACATCACACCTTCTCTGTCTAGTGCTTCTTTTTCATTCCTTAAGCAACAATCTGTGACCCTTCTCATGTTAACCTTCTAGAGCTCTTCCCCTCAGCAGCCTATGTGAACAACCCAGCTTGCTTTTTGTGCTTAATTTTGTAAAGAAATAATCGTTGATAGTTAAATGGAGATCTTCTTTTACATTACAAGAAAAAAAGTCACTCTGCAGTACTCCACAGATTTCCATCCTGAATCACTGCAGGAAACTGTTAAAAGAAAGTCTGCAGATTCCATTTGGGCCTCGTTATTACTGTCAGTTTTCACTAGGAACCATATGATTTTATGGAGCTAAGAACTGTCCTTGTTAGCTTTTTCTGTTAGCCATAGTGCATGAGAATACTCAAACATTTGGAAATTTGTTTATTATTTGCTTTTGCATGTGTATGTGTGTGTTTTGTTTTTGTCAACATGAAAAATTCTTTTCAGGGCATTTATTGCGGGAGTGTTGTATTAGACTGCATTAGTTTTAGCCAGGTGTACCTAATAAAATAGCATCCAAGTGAACAATAAATTATAATTAAAACATGAGTAAAAAAAATGTGCTATTTGGATGTAAAAGCAATAATTCTCTTCTGAATTTATGTTCCTCTTTGTCCCTGGTATTGTGTGCAATACAGTGGGTACGGAAAGTATTCAGACCCCCCTAAATTTTTCACTCTTTGTTATATTGCAGCCATATGCTAAAATCATTTAAGTTCATTTTTTTCCTCATTAATGTACACACAGCACCCCATATTGACAGAAAAACACAGAAT